AATAGTGGCTCAAAGACAAGGAGTGATCAGCTGTATCCAAAGCTGTCAACAGATCATGTAACACGGTCCTGGAGCACAGAGCACTGGGTGCAGTAACGGTGATCGCTGATGGTCTGGACAGGAGATGTTTTGGTACAGCAGTGGGAAAGAAAGCCCCATCAGAGTGGATTCAAGAGAGAATGGGAGGACAAGAATCACAGACAACAGGTAGAGGCAACTCTTGAGGAGTTTTGTTGAAATACAGAAGGAGATAACCTATGGTTATGAGAAGTAGAAGAAGGAGGCATTTGTCTAGGTTTGTAGTCGGGGGAGATACTGCTGACATCTTTGTAGATGACACCAACCACACTGGTACAATGCACGGATCCACCATGGTCTGCATGGTTCCCTGTTTCAAAAGCTGCACAGACACTATTCCAGCAAGAAAGGGCAGAAGGCTGCATGAGCTGAGGAAGTCACCATTTTACTGGTGACCACAGGAAACCAGACACAGTTGTTGCTCCTACGCATAAGCATGGAACTACCTGCAGGGCACCCACAACAGCAAAACCATCTCAGTGTCATCATCTCTAATGGTGAAAATATTTTCCTGGACTGCATGGCAGGTAACATGAGGGCTTTGCATTTGAGGCCTTCATCCTCTTGAGAGAATTTCTAGGAGTGTTACTGTTTCCTGACCACTGCAAGACACATCTACCTTGCTCAAGTACAGATGGAGACAGGGCTCCATCCTCGGGAAGTTTCCTCTGTAGTGGAACCCAAGTGACCCAATCTAATCTAATTCTTCCTTTTAATGCACTGTAGCATGAGAGGCTCTCAACCATATTCATCTCTAATTAAGCATCTCTGGACTAGAGCAATTACTGTAGCTACTGCTGTTGATAACAATCATCTCCTCGGTCTCTTTGTGGTAGGCTGCTATGTGTTCTCAATCGTTCACCCATGCTTCTCTGAAGGTTCAGCACACTTCTTGGCCCCGTTATCTCTGAGGGTGGCCATGGGACTTGCTTTGGCCAGTGGAATGTGAACAGCTAAGACAGAAGCCACATTTAAGCATAAGCCTTAAGTTGCTGGTGCAGTTGGCTCTAGGCCCCATTTTGTGAGCATCTGCTCTCAGCCATGACAACTACAAGGCCTACCACCGAAGGTGAGGGCTCCTTTGACCTGGGCTCTGGGATTGAAGGGCACGCAGAATGAGGTCAAGCCCAGAGTCCAGCTGCGGGCAGTAGAGCTGCAGCTGACCACCATCCTCAGGTGCCAGGAGCCAGGTGTAAAAGTTGCTGGTTGTAAGCCATGGAGAGTTTGGGACTGTTTATTCCTACAGCAAAAGTTGACTGATATACTCTTTTATTAGACTGTCAAATTTATCTAGTGAAGGAACCATGCTTGTTCTTTATGATATGCCCTAATACCCCTAATAAGAATTGTAGGCCCCTAATAAGTACGTAGATAACAGGCCAAGGGTCACTGTGTCCATTTTGCTTGGTTGGCTGGCATTTGGAATTAACTCCTAGTTCCTATCACTGACACACTGGCAGTACCATTACCAGCTCCTTAAAGTCATGTTCAAAGTCACTGTCATCTTCCCTTCCTACTTCCTGATTTGGGCTATTGAGTTATGGTTGATTGACAAGGAAAACCCAAATAATTTAGGCTTCAAAAAGAAGTGAGTCCTGGCCATGATATATGCAGTTTCTATTCCTAAGTACTCCCAAACAGTCAAGGCTGAGTAGAGAAATTTAATTGTGCTTGTGTGCTCAGCTCTGTGTGCCTTTTGAGCTTAAGACAGGCCACAAGCTTTGCCCAGGGAGTCCCACTGCAAAGAAAACAAACCCTTGCTTTTGCTTATTTAGTAGGTTCCCTTTGCTTATTTAGAGACTGAACTAGGTATTGTGTGGGAATCAGAGGCAATAGAAGGCACAGTTCTTGGTTTCAAGGGGCTTATGGTGTAGTTTAAGAGACAGGATATATGTGTAAAACTCCAAGACAATCGGCCGGGCACAGTGGCTCACGCCTGTAATTCCAGCACTTTGGGAGGCTGAGGCAGGCGGATCATGAGGTCAGGAGATCGAAACCATCCTAGCTAACATGGTGAAATCCCGTCTCTACTAAAAATACAAAAAAAAAAAAAAAATTAGCTGAGCATAGTGGCAAGCACCTGTAGTACCAGGTACTCGGGAGGCTGAGGCAGGAGAATCGCTTGAACCTGGGAGGTGGAGGTTACAGTGAGCCGAGATCATGCCACTGCACTCCAGCCTGGGCGACAGAACGTGACTCCGTCTTAAAAAAAAAAAAAATTCCAAGACAATCAAGAGATATATACCACTTAATTCTTTAAAAGAGGCAGTGCAGTGTGGTAGGAAAGAGAGCTGGTCTAGAAATCAGGAGACCTGATTCTAGTTTTGGCTCTATTGCTAGTTAATTAAAGTCAGAGGAAGATCTTCTCACTGTTCCGTGCATGAATAACTGGTTAATATAAAGCCCCTCACATTTCCACGGTTTCATGACTCCATGAGATACCAACCAGCAGCACACTGGGAACCAAGTGCTCAGTGCATGGCATGGGTAGGAGAGGCTGTGCATCTGGAGGTCATCTGTCTTCCTGTCCCTCACCCCATCTCCAAGCTCATCTGGTCCTAGCCTAGTCTGAGAGGTCTCCTATGTCTTGAGTTATGGACCGAATCTACTGGAACTGAACTGAAAGTAAAATTTAAACAAATGAGTCCAGAATTGTTCTCAGACACCACAAACTGAAGAGGAAAGAGTAGGAGGAGTTCTCCTAAAGTGGACTGAGCCCCCAGGAGCACCTTGGGCTGGGGTTTGCTGGCACCTCCCCAGGGCGCCTGAAGCCACTGTGTTCAGTACCTGGGGTGCATCCATAATGGGCCAGGCTTCTGCAGAAGAGGTGTTGTCCATGTGACTGACATCCGGATAGACAATAACTCTCCAAACCCTTCCCCTGATTCAGAGAGCTGAATACCCTCCTCTCTTTGGGTAAAATCACTTCTCACAATGACAGGTGTGGTGTCCCCAGTGGGGCTCCTGAGGCCTGGACTGCCCTATTTGACAGGACGGGAGGCGAGGGCTGGGAGAAAGGTCAAAACAGAACTTTTTTTTTTTTTTTTTTTTTTTTTTGAGACGGAGTCTCGCTCTGTCACCCAGGCTGGAGTGCAGTGGCCAGATCTCAGCTCACTGCAAGCTCCGCCTCACGGGTTTATGCCATTCTCCTGCCTCAGCCTCCCAAGTAGCTGGGACTACAGGCGCCCGCCACCATGCCCGGCTAGTTTTTGTATTTTTAGTAGAGACGGGGTTTCACCGTATTAGCCAGGATGGTCTCGATCTCCTGACCTCGTGATCCGCCCGTCTTGGCCTCCCAAAGTGCTGGGATTACAGGCTTGAGCCACCGCGCCCAGCGCCAAAACAGAACCTTTAGAACATCCACTGATGCTTTCCTGATTGTTCTTCGGAAAAATACAGAAAGTAGAGATAATCTCATTGGCTGAAGTGCTCTGGAGCCTCGGGGATTAGCCACCTGGCTCTTCTGCTGCAAACTGTATTTAAATCCCCATCCCAGGGCCTCCGGGGTGGCTCAGATGGCCATGGGATTACTTCCTTCGTGTAGTATTCATGTGGCTGAGTGACTGCTGTGAACCGTCTCCAGGAGTTTCCAGGAGCTGGGACCACAGTGTGTTTTAAGGTACTTACATCAGAGTAGGGTTCTTCAGCTCAAAGGAACTCATTTTAAAACAAAAACAAAAACCCCTGCATTTATATGAAAGCAGGTCCCTTTGCAGAGTGTTCTTGGCAATTCAGCAAAGGACAGCAGAAGGTGGCGAGGAGATAACACTGTACACAAGAACAGGCTTCACTTACTTGGGACTCCGGACACCAGCCGCAGGGGCCGCAGCACGCGGAAGGCCCTCAGCGCTTTCACATCAAATCCGGCCCCTTTCCCTCCGAGAGCGTTCGCCCCATCTGCTTTGGTTGCTTGTTCTAAAATTGCACTAAAAAGCCTAGAAGAGAGGAAAGAGAGAAGGACTCTGTCAGGACTGGGTTTTTGTTTGTTTTTTTTTTGTTTTGTTTTGTTTTGTTTTTGAAACGGAGTCCAGCTCTGTTGCCCAGGCTGGAGTGCAGTGGCCAGATCTCAGCTCACTGCAAGCTCCGCCTCCCGGGTTCACGCCATTCTCCTGCCTCAGCCTCCCGAGTAGCTGGGACTACAGGCGCCTGCCACCTCGCCCGGCTAGTTTTTTGTATTTTTTAGTAGAGACGGGGTTTCACCGTATTAGCCAGGATGGTCTCGATCTCCTGACCTCGTGATCCGCCCGCCTCGGCCTCCCAAAGTGCTGGGATTACAGGCTTGAGCCACCACGCCTCGCCGAGGACTGGGTTGGGCAAAATTGCGCACGGGTCTCCAGCCCAGGAGTGGGTGCTGTGGGCGTGCGTGGAGTCTGTGGGTGGTTGTAAGCTGACATCAGTGTGGGTGGTGGCCTCAGTGTGGGTGGTGGTCATGCCCAGGGTGCCACCATGGCCCAGGGAGGCCTGAGCGAGCTGAGGGGCAGGCCCTCTGCCATCATAAAGGCATGAGCTGGACAGGCGCTGGGCAAAAGTGGGAAGCAGGTGACGTCTGTGGTCAGTCCTCATCTCCTTGAGGAGCCCTCCGCCCTCTCCATGGTATCCCAGCACACCTCCCAGGAGTGCCAGCAACCACGTGCTCTATTTCCCCACCTCCTTCCTTCTAGAGACCCCCTCTCTTTGACTTGTTCCTGGCCCATGGAAATCTGCTTTGTGCTGGCCTCGGTGGCTGCTCAGGAGGCAGGCGCTGCACAAATGAATGAACGGTTCAGTGGTTAAACAAGAAGGTCTCAAGTGGGGCAAAACCACACGTGCATGTAACTGAGATGCAGGGCTTTTGGCCCTGCCACTGTAGGTCTGAGCTGGCATATTCACTCCTCCAACAAACAAGAACACCTGTGACGTGTTGGGCACTGTTCTAGACACTGGGGCTACAGCAAAACGGACAAAGCCCTTCCCCTCATGGAACTTACATTCTAGCAGGGAGACAGACAATAAACTGCGCAATCAGTAAACAGACACTGCAGCTTAGAGTGCTGAGTGCTGAGCAGGAGGGGCAGCGAGGGGCTCTGCAGAGAGAGGGTGAGGGCCGCCTCCCTTCCCACCTGAGAGGTCTGCACAAAGAACTCCCTGCAGGTGACACTTGAGCAGAGGCCTATGGGAAGTGAGGGTAGGACACACTTTGTTATCTGGAGACTGTTCCAGGCAGAGGAAGCAGGTGAGCCAGGGGCCCAAGGGAGGAGCAGGGTGTTTTAGAGGAACAGCAGCGACCAGTGTGGCTGGAGCAGGGCAGGGAAAGCGGAGAACTGTGGGAGAGGAAGTCAGAGAGGAAATAGGGAATCCCACCAGGTGCTGGTATCCTCTCTGAGACAGAAGCCACTGGGGGACTTTGAGCAGGAAAGTGACATGACCTAACTACAGGTCTAAAAGAATCATTCGGCTGTTGTGGGAGACACTCCTGTCGGGGGCGAGGCCAGAGACCAGCTGCTGCAGTCACCCAGACACGAGACGCTGGTGGCTCAGAACGAGCAGTGGTGTTGGAGGTAGTGAGAAAAAGTTGGATACCAGATTTACCTTAAGATAAAGCTGGTGGGACTGGCTGATGGACTAGATGTGAGGTGTGAGAAAGAGAGGGGAATCAGAGAAGATTCCAACAGTTTGGGCGTGAGCAACAGGAATGATGAGATATGGTTGAATGGACATCATGGGTTCTGCCAAGAACTTCTTGAAGCTTTAGTTGTTGCTTGGACATCGAATGCATGTCTTGAGTTGGTTCTACTATGTCTGGAGGTCAGTGGGGAGGTCCAAGCTGGAGACAAAAGCGCAGTAGTTGCGTAGTTCATATTTAAAGTCAAATCATATGTGACTACCTAGGAGGCCAGCGCAGAAGGTGAGGATGTGAAAGGACCCAACCCTGCAGTGCTCCCACACTGAGGGGTCAAGAGAGGAGAAAGCAACAAGAGAGACTGACGAGGGATGGCTTGCAGAGCAGGGACATGGAGAGAACAGCGCCCCACGAAGCAAGTGGTCAGTGAATAGGCGGTGCTGTCACACGCTGCAGAGACACGGCTGGACACCGACCACCGGGTTTACCAACATCAAGACCATCCAGACCTTGAAGGCATCTGTGTTGGTGGAGCGACGTGGACAAACACCTAGCAGACATAGGTTCAAGAGAGCATGGGAGGCGTGGGACACCGTGAGGATAGACAGCCCTAGCCAACAGAAACATGAGGCAAGCCACAGGTGTGAGCTGCATGTGTAATTTACCTTTGCTAGGAGCCACATTAAAAAAGTAAAAACAGGTGAAATTAACAGTGATCATAGATTTTATTTCACCCAACATAGCCAAAATATTATCATCTCAACATGTAATAAATATAAAAAATTATTCAGGAGACATTTGTCATTCCTTGTTTTGTAACTAAGTCTTTGAAATATGCTGTCTATTTTATCCTTATGATTATTATTATTGCAATTCAGATTAGCCACATTCCAAGTGCTGAATGGGCACATGTGGCTACTGCAGAGACAAGTCTTTCGAGAAATTTTGCTCTAAATGAGTAGAGGAAAAAAGGGGGTTACTAGAAGTGGGAGTGGAGTCAAGAGGGTTTTGTTTCTGAATGGGAGATATGACAGCATTTTTCTATGTGATGGGAATCATCTAACAGAGGCAGAAAATGTGATGAGATAGAAGTGAGAGAGAACCGCTGCTGGTAGGATGGAGCTCCTTCATTGGCAAGAAGGGGATGGGTGCACACGAAGGGTGCCCACCTGTGCAGGGGCAGGGCTGTGTGCCATGGTTCAGTAAGAAGGCACATTGTCAGCACAGACGCGTGGTTGTGGGAATATATGAAAGTCCCCTTCTGACTGCACCTTTCTCAGGGAACTGGGGAACGAGGCCATCAGCCGAAAATGTGAAAGGGGAAGGAGATGGGAAGTGTGAAGAGAGAGGCAAGGGTGCTGAAAGAATTCTCTCAGAAAGCAGAAGGGTGAATGGGGTGGGGATAAAGCAGGAGGGCCCTCAGGTGTCACCAAGGGCCTCCTCGAGGTTGGAGGTCATGAGTGTAAAGTGAGACTCTGCTCAACTTTGCAGATTTCTTGACCCTTTCCAGGTACCAAGCAGATCTCTGGTTGGACTTGATTAGGGTTGGTGTTTTTCCAGGTGTGCAAGATAAACAGACAGAAGACCAAGAATGTTGAGCATAAATGCAAGCCTTGAGTGAGAGCAGCAGTGGCACATGGCATCTGCGCTGGCTGAAGGAGGGTGGACATGGTGGCAGGGATGAAGAGTGCGGTGGGACGAAGGGGTCGTGGGAGTCAGGGTGAGAGAGGGATGGGGCGGGAAAGACGGTGGTGCTGTTTAGACAGTAGGATGTTAGATCTGGGATGATGAGGGAGGTGTTATCAGTGGTGACAGGGATATTGGCTATAACCAGGGGAGTGAGCCTACTGAGATAGGCTCCCCAGAAGGCAGATATCCAGGAATCAAGAAGCTACTGCAGGGAAGGTAGAGAAGAAGTGAGTGTTGGAGTGAAGTAGAGTGAGCCAAGAGCCCATGTCCTAAAGGCACAAGGAGGGGTGACTCAAAGGTCTGCAGAAGGTTGCAGTAAAGAGAAGTAAGGCATAGAGGATCTGATGACACAAATGTCAAAAGGGACGGGGGGTGCAGTGGAGCAGAAATCAGGAGCTGGCAGGGCCCCCTTAGACCTGGCAACCTGGTGCAGTGGAAGGAGGCTTCTGGGACAGGAAGTGGCCGCCTGCTGAGAGACAGCAGAGAAAGCTGTACCCTCCTGGGAGAATCTGGAAGTGACCAGAAAGGAAACTGAGAACTGGGCCACCTGTTTTGCAAAGTTTTGTTGGAATTCAGTGACACCCACTCATGGAGATACCGCTCTCGTCCTGCTGCTGGGCAGGGTGGAGTAGCTGGAACAGAGACTTGGCTTGCAAAGATGAAAACCAGCATCTGGCTCTTACAGAAAAGTTGACTGACCCTGAACAGGCGAGAGACTATGGGGATGGGAGGGCACAGTGGGAAGGTTTCCGCCGCGGGGGAGTGAGAAAGGAGGGGTTAGATCAGAGGATGCACAGAGCCACACGGCAACAGGAGTCCGGGTGATGAGGGACGACTCAAGAATTTTGGGCTTTTCATGGCAACCGAGAAAAATAGGGGAAAGGGCGTGCAGGGCGATTTCTGTCCTTTATACCCAGAGAGGATGCAATGGATTCATTGGCAGCAGAGTGCACTACACGCTGGGTCGTGTTTCTTCAGTAGTGGGGCCTGGGATCAAGGAGGGCACCCAGGTATTAGGAGTGGGTCTCCATATCGGGTCTGAACTATGAGCCAGGGCAACGTTCACTCAGGAGCAACAGGCTTGAGCTCTTAAGTGACTTATGCCCCAGGTAACTGGATCTAGAAATGGGAAACTGCAGCTGGGGGATTAGCCAGATGCATTAGCAGAAGTTCAGGGCCAGGCAGGGCTGAGCCATGAGGGAATCGGCCTAGAAACACTCCATGGAGGCCTCCAGGCACTGACTGGCTGAGTGACTGGGGTACTGGCTCCTCCGGTCCAGAGGATGTCCCTTCTATCTGGTCTGTGTATTGGACCTCTGAACGAGACTCTCAACAGCGGGCTCTGCAGCCGAATGAAGTTTGAGAACCCTGTCCAGGCCGTATCTGCAGTGTCTCTCAGCCTGGCGATTTGACAGCTTCCTATGTTAGCTGGTGAGGCCTTGAATCCCAGGCAGAAGTTGCCAGGATGGGGGAGTGGGCTTCTTTCTCTACAAGGGAGATGTTCTTTCCACTGAAGCCCAGATCACTGAGACCGGAGGAGACGAAGACCCGTCTGCAAATTTGTCAAACAACATCCCAAATGCAAACCCGATTTTGTTCCCAGTATTTCCTGCAAGAAAGCAATATGCTTATCGGAGTGAAAGATGT